TCAAGTTTTAATTCAATAACGAAATTGAGAGCCATCCGTCTTAGATTCCCACTGTGGTTAGCACCTACACTCGCTTCAGTGTGGACTTAATGGATCACCAGCGAGTGGGTAAACAGACTATATCACGTCCTGAGGCGATCTTCCAGGCTTATTGCATGTTAGGCTCTCGTGTCCATACATCTCCTGGAGAAATTATGTCGTTGTGACACAAGCCAAACAATTAAAACGCTCAATGTTTCAAATATGTCTGAAAACAGTTCTTTTAGTACCGGTTGAAACGAGACTCGACAGGAGGGGGAACCGTCGTGCAATCTGTACGACCAGATTGAAATCGCCATGTGGAAGATTAGATCGTGGAGCTAGGGCGGAAGTAACACGTGTTGATGGCATCCCGCTTTGGCTTATAGTTTTACGACATAACGCCTGGAAGTGAACGTGTAACGGACAACGTTGGTTATCTGATGTGGCGTGACGGTTCATGTCGCTGCTCCTTGCTAAGTGATCACGATGATCCTTATTAAAATCGAGGGCGGTAGGGTAGCCTAGTGGTTAAAGCGTTCGCTCGTCACGCCGGGGCGGTGGGGTTGCCTAGTGGTTAAAGCGTTCGCTCGTCATGGCGGGGGCGGTGGGGTAGCCTAGTGGTTAAAGCGTTCGCTCGTCACACCGAGGCGGTGGGGTAGTCTAGTGGTTAAAGCGTTCGCTCGTCACGCCGGGGCGGTGGGGTAGTCTAGTGGTTAAAGCGTTTGCTCGTCACGCCGGGGTGGTGGGGTAGCCTAGTGGTTAAAGCGTTCGCTCGTCACACCGGGGCGGTGGGGTTTCCTAGTGGTTAAAGCGTTCGCTCGTCACGCCGGGGCGGTGGGGTAGCCTAGTGGTTAAAGCGTTCGCTCGTCACGCCGGGGCGGTGGGGTATCCTAGTGGTTAAAGCGTTCGCTCGTCACGCCGGGGCGGTGGGGTAGCCTAGTGGTTAAAGCGTTCGCTCGTCACGCCGGGGCGGTGGGGTATCCTAGTGGTTAAAGCGTTCGCTCGTCACGCCGGGGCGGTGGGGTAGCCTAGTGGTTAAAGCGTTCGCTCGTCATGCCGGGGGCGGTGGGGTAGCCTAGTGGTTAAAGCGTTCGCTCGTCACACCGGGGCGGTGTGGTAGCCTAGTGGTTAAAGCGTTCGCTCGTCACGCCGGGGCGGTGGGGTAGCCTAGTGGTTAAAGCGTTCGCTCGTCACGCCGGGGCGGTGGGGTAGTCTAGTGGTTAAAGCGTTCGCTCGTCACGCCGGGGCGGTGGGGTAGTCTAGTGGTTAAAGCGTTCGCTCGTCATGCCGGGGCGGTGGGGTAGTCTAGTGGTTAAAGCGTTCGCTCGTCACGCCGGGGCGGTGGGGTAGTCTAGTGGTTAAAGCGTTCGCTCGTCATGACGGGGCGGTGGGGTAGCCTAGTGGTAATAGCGTTCGCTCGTCACGCCGGGGCGGTGGGGTAGCCTAGTGGTTAAAGCGTTCGCTCGTCACGCCGGGGGCGTCGGGGTACCCTGGTGGTTAAAGCGTTCGCTGCTCACGCCAAAGACCCGGGTCCGATTCCCGACATGTGTACAATCTGTGAAGCCCATTTCTGGTGTCCCCCGCCGTGATATTGCTGGAATATTGCTGGAATATTGCTAAAAGCGGCGTAAAACCATACTCACTCACTTTTAAAATCGTCATTTATTTCCCGATCCAGTTCTGATGAAGATTCCATACCGGTACAAAAGCCAAAAAAAAGTAAGCATGGTTGAAATGTGAGAGCCGTTTTCCACTATCTGTTACAAAAACACGAGTATCTTACTCTGTTCTTATTCGTCTTGAAATAGTTCCTTTGAGTGACATTTCGAAACTGCATTGGAAAGATTAAAAGAAGCGGGCGAGCTCCAAGTTCTTTCTCCAATTCAGTGTATATTCGTACACTTTTTATCAAGTCAATGGACACAACTGGTGCCTGCTTGAGTTGATGGAGGACAAGTTGGCTAAATTTGCTGCTTATTGTCAACAACCTTAGATAACATTGTTGCTTTTGTGCAATAAAAAAACATTGATGTATTTGGTTCACCACGCTTCTTCAAAGACTAAATTTCTTCTTGTCAATCAAGAATGCATTTCTTCGCAGTCTCATTATGCTTCAACATCAAATGTGTTTATTTTGCCCTCTTGACAGATCACGATACCATGTGTGCCTTAAAGGGTCTTCGTGCGACCGTCTTTCTCAAATCATGTTGAAAGCTGTTGTCCCTGGAGTCACTCGTCATGTGTAGTTATTTAGAGTCAGAAGTCACGTGACGTTTGTTGGTGTCACACGTCACTTGAATTTTCGTTGGTGTCACTAGTCACGTGACGTTTGTTTAGTGGTGCCACTTATTGCGTGCAGTTTAGTGGTTTTCACCAGTCACGTGGAGTTTAATGGTGTCACTTGTCACATGCAGTTTAGTGGTGTCTCTTGTCGCGTGCAGTTTAGTCGTGTCACTTGTCGCGTGCAGTTTGATGGTGTCACTTGTCACGTGCAGTTTGGTGGTGTCACTTGTCGCGTGCAGTTTGGTGGTGTCACTTGTCACGTGCAGTTTGGTGGTGTAACTTGTCACGTGCAGTTTGGTGGTGTCACTTGTCGCGTGCAGTTCGGTGGTGTCACTTGTCGCGTGCGGTTTGGTCGTGTCACTTGTGGCGTGCAGTTTGGTGGTGTCACTTGTGGCGTGCAGTTTGGTGGTGTCACTTGTCGCGTGCAGTTTGGTGGTGTCACTTGTCACGTGCAGTTTGGTGGTGTCACTTGTCACGTGCAGTTTGGTGGTGTCACTTGTCTCGTGCAGTTTGGTGGTGTCACTTGTCACGTGCAGTTTGGTGGTGTCACTTGTCACGTGCAGTTTGGTGGTGTCACTTGTCACGTGCAGTTTGGTGGTGTCACTTGTCTCGTGCAGTTTGGTGGTGTCACTTGTCTCGTGCAGTTTGGTGGTGTCACATGTAATTACATGGTGCCACCAGTCAGTTGTCGTTAGGTAGCAGTTCCGAGTTCCACTTAGGTCGTCACTGCTCCGAATGTTTGACTGTAAAGCCGTAACATGGCGTTCCTTTGTCTAACAGTAGAAACGGAATCGAAGACAAACATTGTGCTCGGCCCATCGCAGTCCCGGCCGAAACATCATTTTAGCTCAATCAATCAATACTTTATTCACTTTGAAGGTCATATGCCAATATATATATAAAACAATTTTCAAAATGTTATACATTGTTAAACAATTACTTTGTTCTGTCATGAGCATAATATATAAACAAGCATATTGATTTTATTTTTTCATGACATTTATATTTTTTAATGTATTTAGTCTTTGGTAAATATTTAATTCTAAAAGCATTTAAAGCAGCAGTGAAGTGATATTCATCCTCTATTATCAGTGGAAACGGTTCCAAGACTACATCGGTTTGGAGAAAATGCTAGTTCTGTCTGTGAAACAAGCAGCGTTGTATTGGAAATAGGTGGTCTAGTGGATAGAGCGTCTGTCTGCAGAGTTGAACGGAGATGGTTCGCTCCCAAGTCGATTCATAGCAAGGACGTTTAAAGGTGGTAATTGTTGATGCCCTGTCCGGCGCTTGCATTAAGGGGAAAAACAAGGACTGGTCGGCTCGGCGACAATATACTGTGCCTGAGTGGGGTATTCATGTTAAACTGCGGCATGGTTTTAAATCCGACATTAGTCCGGACTAACGTACGTACGCAGGCACGCAGGCACGCAGGCACGCATGCACGCAAGCACACACACACGCATGTACACACACGTCGCTATACAAGTGCCCATCGTAAACGCGTAGCTCGATTCCCCACATGGGTGCAATGTGAAGCCCATTTCTGGTGTCCCCCGCAGTGATATTGCTGAAACATTGCTAAAAGCGGTGTAAACCCATACTCACTCACTAACGTGGCAATAGGCACCACGAAACAAACAGTTTTCGTCCACTAGTCCTTATAATGATAACATGTAGCAAAACCCTTAAAAAGGGCAAATTTCTACTAGTCCTTATGATACCTTAACTATTGGGCAGTTTGGCAAGGACTATAGGACGAGTGCCAATTTCTACCGCTGCGAGAGACCTGTGACAAGATGTGCATGAAGGGCAGATATGATCAGCACATGGACACTGGTAGAATGGAAACCTACTCAAGACCTACATCAGTAGATAATAAGGCGACAGATACAAGGCCACGAGCCGGTGCAGCGCGACAGGTTAATACCTAGATAACCACCATTACACAAGTGACGCAACACACAAACGCCATGTCAGATTCCACTCGCTTACCGTCCCTCCGCGTCTAGCAATACGTCAATGCAATCCGATTGCATTCAATGGTAACATTGTGACGTGATTCTATGTCATATTCTGTTTGTTCCGCGTTGTACATACAATGCCCTACTAAGTAGGGATTAGGCGATCGTCTCGCGGCCACTCCATGGCGTTGACTCAAACACGGAAGTGTTCAAGAGGTGGTTGTAAATGATCGTTTTTGGTGCCCTTCTATGGAAACATAGATACATTGACCCATGTAGAGCATCCCTATTTGATCGTGATTCAGACGCACATGCTTATGATATAGTCGGAAACGCACACTGTGCTCTGCTTTTAGCACAAATGTCTTATCATCTAGGAAAGTCTTTTGTCGCTTCTATTTCTATAATACAATCACTGGATTGAATGGTCCAGACTCGATTATATACAGATCGCCGTTATATAGCTGGAATATTGCTGAGTGCGGCTTTAATCAACACAAACAAATTATATCATATATAATTATATAAGTATGTATTGTTTGATCTGTTACGGATATAAGTTGAAAGAACGGCGGAAAAGAAGTGGTTGTCCAAATGACATGTCTTTTAAGACCATCGTGTACATGTGTTTATACTGCCGTCGGCTGTTTTGTAATCCCTTTACGGTGTTCGTGGAGGAAGCAGTGTTTACAGTATCTGTGTTTGAGTAATGGAACGACTTTCAATCTTTTGTAGTTGCTATGTGAGATCATGCACCCTTCAAACGGGAGGAGATAGTAAGGAGCAGCTGGAAGCGTTCGTATGTAAACTATGCATGACATGTAGGTGTATGAAAATGTGAAATTATTCATGGAGTATTCAAATATGAAGATATATAGTAAATAAAAAACGTCAACGCCAGAGAATAACCAGTCTCGATTATCCACCGAAACAGATTCCATTGGGCGTAAAAGGCAAATTAGCGGTGAAAATTATATGAAAGGTTTCGCTTCAAATATGAAGCTATATATCAAGCATGGCAATATGTGGACAGATACCACAGTATTTGAATATGAAACTATTTATTAAGTATTTAAATATGAAGATATATATTAAGCATGACAAAATGTATAAGAATGCAAATATGAAACTATACAGTATTCAAAGATGCATAAATAGTAAGCTTGATCATATGAAGGCATATACTTAGATTGACAATAGTAAGGGCTATACAAGTTATGCAAATTTCAAGTGAATATTAAGTATGACAAGATGTAGGCATATGCTTAATTATCGATGTATATACCAAGTTTGACAATATGTAAGTATTTAGTAGTATTCAAATATGAAGATACATATTAAACATGGCTTTATGTAAATTTACTAAATATGTAATGTGATGAGTAAGTGAGTGAGTGAGTTTGGTTTAACGCCGCTTTTAACAGTATTCCAGTTATATCACGGCGTGTCAGCTTAATGTGGGAGGAAAGCCCGAAGTGATGCAGGTCTCAGACGTTCACCACTTCGGTGAAACCCACGAGCACGAGTATGGTGCTGGCAAACCTAGAAACGTAATCGGGGCGAACCGGGATTCGAACCCACAATCATAGGTTTCTGGTGTGTCCAAGGGACGCAACTCTGCACAGCGAATCGACTGGGCCACGCGTGCCCCATGTAATGGAATCAGTATTATTACCCACGTGGTGAAGATACAGGTGGTAAGATACTAAATCCGTACGTCACAAGTGTGTCGTGCAAGGTTGACCTTGTTTTATTTGTTTTGATTGGATAACCGTGACCTCTGTCACACCGGGGCTACTTTTTTCATTCATAAAAAAAAACGCGAGACGCCATTCATATTGCGACTACAAGGCAGAACTGAAGCAATCTCATGAGAGCGAGAGATGTTTACAAACACTTTATTAAACCAAACAAGATAGTCACACGCATCAAATGCGGTTTACACTCTACATAGGTTATGCATAGAGCTTCTACAGACATTATATAATCGAGCTATATCCATTTACAATGTACGACTACCGATCAATAGATCGAGGGTCCCCATGAGCGTGACGCACCGACCAGTTACGCAACTTTCAATTTGATTTAACGTAAATGGATAAGCGTGGTGAAGTGAAGTCAGTTTAAACTATCTGGTCAGATATCTAGACTTACTTGGGATGATCCGGTTGTGCCATCAGTGTCCCCTTCGTTCGAAACGTATTTTGTGGCACTGTTTCGGGAGTTGTTTCTTCACGACAGCACTACCAGATCACTCAAAGTGAACATTTCCGATACAAATCATTCGAAAACTCCGTAGAAGTTTGTTTTCTGATTATGGGGCCCAAAGTATCCGAAATGTGAACAATAACATTCCCCATCTCTAGCGTAAAACGCTGTTAGCAGATTTACGGTTGTCTTTTCTCATTCCGGTGGTGATCTTGCCCCTCGTTCGCAGCTGTCACTGACATGCAAACAGATTTGAGTTTGTTGATTTTCACGTCTTCAGTATAGGGTGGTACAGTTAACATGAATGTCTTTGGCGAACACTCTGATTTCCCTCTTCCAAAATGGTACGGACATGATATAAATTCAGATGATAGATCAACTGAACCATTTTGATGGCACAGCCGGGACCCCGGCAATGTAAAATCTGGTTGATACTGACCTAGGGCGGTCGGGTAGCCTTGTGATTAAAGCGTTCGCTCGTCGCGCCGAAGACCCGGGTTCGATTCCCGACATGGGTACGTTGTGAAATGCCCATTTCTGGTGTTCCCTGCCATGATATTGCTGGAATATTGCTAAAAGCGGCGTAAAACCATACTTACTGTTACTGACCTAATTTCAGGCGGTATACCGTTAGTAACAGCCATCTTGGATTTTCCAACATCCACGTCACATATTTCACATGAAAATTCTGGTACAGAAATTCGTTATCCGACACAGTTTTGTGTTTTAATATTATCAATTGTGATGTGCAACTACATTAATTTTAAAAGAAACCACGCCTCGCCCAATAGTTTTGCTGCTAACCTAATATAACTAAAGACACCATGACCAATAATACACTGTAAAATAAGACAGTATGTGTGTATTTACTTAGTATTTAGTTGCATATAAGGCATGTCAATATATAGATAAATACTTAGCATGTCGATACGAAGGTATGTATTGTCATAGCGACCATTACTTAATTGCCATTACTTACACCGATATCCTAATACCCAGATGGGCGCCATAGGTTGACCTTTGTCTCATTCAGTACATTTATCGTCAGCCATCCAGAACGAGATGTGCAACTATGTCATTCGTCATTGTTTGTATTGTTTTTATTCATCATGGCAGAGAGGTGAGGTGAAATGGGGTTTAACGTGCGTTCAAGATTTGTGCACTTATATAGCGACGTGCATGCGCGTGTGTTTGTGACTGCTTGTACTAGTCCGGACTGATGCCGATTTATTGTGCTAGCCCACTGAGATACCATGCCGCAGTTTAACACGAATACCCCACTCAGACACAGTATACTGACTCCGAGCCGACAACACCTTGTTTAGCCCCTTAATGCTGAGCGCCAGACAAGGTAACAACAAATACCATCTTTTAACGTCTTTTGGATGACGCGGGATCGAACCCCGGACCTTCGGTCTCCGGGCGGACGCTCTACCACTAGACCACGGAGGCGGTCCATCATGGGAGAGAAGAGTCAGCGGAGGTCTACCCTTTAACCTAACAAGTGTGGACGTATTCGAGCAGCTGTTACTGTAATAATATTGATAGTTTTCTTATACAATGCAACAATTGTAAAAACTAATACAATTGTATTACATAGGTTTTTGTGTTTTAATGTCTATTCCGATCAAGAACCGTTCAACGAAGTCTGAATAAGGAAATTATTACCAACGCTTGTGTGTTTGATTTGAAGATGTATAGCAGTATATATATGTATGATATGTATGCGGAGAGGTCGATATATGCTCGATTTATGGTGATATAGAATTATGCTTCGTTGTTTCTTTGTTGTTTAACGCCGCATTCAGCAATATTCCAGCTATATGACGGCGGTCTGTAAATAATCAAGTCTGGACTAGACAATCCAGCGATTGACATCATGAGCATCGATCTATGCTACGTACGATATGCAAACTTATAGTAATCATGTCAGTGTATTCGTATTTGTGTTGGGTTTTTTTCATTAAGTTTGATTATTATTGTTTCAACAAATGTCGCTTGCAAAATTTCGAAATGACTTTGGGGCAACAATTAAGTGAGTGAGTTAAATTTTTAAGTCACTTCGAAAATATATCAGCCATAGTGTCATATAAAGAGACAAAGATATACTCACGAGTGTATACTCACTGTTTTATTGCAGTAGAGAACATGAACAGTATCTAAACATCAACGTGCGTTATGGGAGACAGTCGCCTCATTATTTCTTAGAACGTTAAGAGTGCTTTGTGCCGCTCAATCGGTCAAATATTTCGGTCCGAAGCAAATAGCGTTCATTCATTGCATTGCTTATTTTCTCATATCGCCGACCCCGTAGGGATGCGGTGTCCGAATGGGCCTCCGACACCCCTTCTTGTCCCGAACACTCCCTTCTTGTCACGAACACCCCCCCTCGTCACGAACACCCCTCTTGTCACGAACACCCCTTCTCGTCACGAACACCCCTTCTCGTCACGAATACCCCTCTTGTCACGAACACCCCTTCTCGTCACGAACACCCCTTCTTGTCACGAACACACCCTTTTTGTCACGAACACACCCTTTTTGTCACGAACACACCCTTTTTGTCACGAAGACCCCTTCTCGTCACTTTTCTGCAGTGAATTCTTCCCGTGTTTAGGAAAGCAAACACGTAAGGCGAACTAGCATGCTTTGCTCCGAAGATTCTCTAGAAGGATATTAGAAGAATTGTTTGCAATGATTATGTTTGCATATTGCAAGAAAGCAATCGGACTTGCAACTGGACAGGCACATCAGTCGGCCGTATGATCTGTGAGTGAGTATGGTTTGGGGCTGCTCTTAGCAATATTCCAGCAATATCACGGCGGGGGACACCAGAAATGAGCTTCAAACATTGCACCCGTGTCGGGACTCGAACCCAGGTCTTCGGCGTGACTAGCAAACTCTTTAACCACTAGGCTACCCCACCGCCCCCGTATGATCTGTAAGTCGGGCACTTCAATGTGGTCGATAATATCGATATTCAGACAAGATAAATCTGTTTGACTTGTAAGGATGTCTACTTTCCGTAAGAAACAACTAACTTATTCTTGTTACAGTCGTCCGGTGATGGGTCCTAATGTCGGGGTTAATTCAAGGCCGGGACTGATTGGACCATACAGATCCTAATTGAAGGGTCGTTGCTCTACTGTGTGATTAGACCAACACTATTTCAAAATAACTACAATGATAGATCATGTGTTAGACCAATAATTGCCACGTTGTTGCCGACGTGGCTTCCGTTGTGGACATTTACATTTAAACATGCATACATATGTGCGTCATGACATATGGTCATATTAATCGAGATTTCAACGGTTTCAACGTTTACGTCATGAAAATATATTTGAATAATTAAGCGGTAAATACTTCCGTGGTACGTTTATTAATAAACTGTTGATTCTGTGATAGTGCGTATTTTCACACATTCGGGTTTTCAGCTCCTTTCCTCGACGTACACGCGTTTTTTCTTTCGCGGGTGATAATTCATCAATATTGCTTCGGTTCCTTTAATTAAAAAAGACACAATCACAATTAAATTATCAATGAATAAGCTGCTTGATATACGAGAGAAATGTATTCACTCAATATTGCAGGCTTTATTGTGTGCCACCAATAAAAGTCGTCATGATTAAAATACCAAACCCTACACGAAGGAAGAAATTAATGCCAAAAGCCGTGTGAGCTCTTATTGTGTAATGCATGGTTGGTTTTCCTTTGTATTTGGGGACGAGTAAGGTTATTTAGACGGAGTATGATGCATAATTATACAGGCAGATGCTTGCGACCGCATTGCTTTCCGCGAACTAAACTACCTGACAGCGCGCCCTCTACCGGCCAGCCGAAGCTCGTCACGTCAAGCCTCGGAAAGATGGCGACCGAAGCTCGGAAACACGGAGGCAAGGCAAGCCCAGTTGTCGCTGCGTGTGCGAACAAGGCGAAAGATCAGGTATCAAAATTATTATATACCGTATCTATGAACATTTACGAAGATGACTATGTCTTGTTGAGAGAGATCGGATAAGGATATCGTGGTGAATCACGAGAAATAAGTTAGTCGAGTGAAAAAATTCGTGCAAATTTCTCTCAATTTCCGAAGGGGTCTGAAGTATTTTGTCGCATATCTCGAGATCCGTGAGTGAACTAGAGTAACAATAATATATATCTCATTCTAGAGTGTTTATTTTTGACGAAGGCAACACTTATAAGTGGATATCGGTCTTCACAAAAGCGTACTAAACGTTTTCTAGGCATGTATTTTGCGATGTCGGCCGACAGCCTATATGGGTATCTGGTTGTTCGTCTGTATGTATGCTGCGGTAGTCAGTCCAGAAGAGCGCACTGCCAGTTACGATCATTTATGAGTTTGTCTGAATAGGGTTCGTATACAACTACATCTGTCACCTAATTTACCACCCATGTCACAACAATTTCATATTTTATCTAAAAAAACTTTATTTCTAAAATTACGTATTGGTTTTGAGTATTTGCAAGCTGTTCAATTAAAACCAACTAAGCGCTGTAGCTTGTACCTTATGGTAAATATAATGTGAAGCTTGAAAAGGTTATGATTCTGAAAATAGTTTTATTGAAAGGTTTCACACCTCCTTGTATTAATTATTGAAATCATAAATTGTTAAGTTAACATGGCTTCCTGAATGGTCACAGTATAATATTTGAGTATATTTAACACTGAGACCTTATACACACATATACTGTATTTTTTAATTATTTAGATAATAAAGTATTAACTTAACATAGCTACCTGAAAGGTAAAAATATATAAATAAATTAGTTTAGCATATTATACTGAGACCTTATACCCATTTATACTGGTACACTGTCGCTTTTGACTCTAATATGTAGAGTTCGCTATGTAGTAAGAAAAACTGCACAATATGTATGTTTAGTTGTGTAAGAACTGTCCAAATGGACCAGGGTCTCTCTGATACCCTAAAAATCAGATAAAGTTTCTTGTAAAAATATGTTAAGTTTGTAAATGGATTTATTGGGTAATATGAAAATACTCCATTTACCAATCTGCTATGCTTTCAATACACATTCCACAAGAGGATAGTGTTCAGTGACAACATGCATCTAGCTGACCTGCCAGTGGATATGTGTGTTCGTGCTGGTTCATTATGGTAGGACTATGTGGTAGTAGTGAAGTAAGTTTCTATCTGGTGGACATCTGTAAGTAGGCTATAAAGTTGTTTGCACAGACTGAGACTAGAGTGTTATCTCTGTGAGGGCAGGCAGGGGGCGTGGTCCCTGTGCACAGTGAAGTATGGAGGCTTGGGTCCACTCAGCTGTATGGTGTGCAGGTAAAGCCCTGATCTCTATGTACATGTGCAAGCAGTAGGTCAGGGCTTTACCTGTTCCTCTGAATGAATACTATGTGAATGTGCAGACAATGCACCTGCAGTATAGGAATTTGTTTTGCAGTCTTGAGGAATGTTCTGCCTGTTTTCTTGGTTGAGAGACCCCGTGAGGGTGTCATGAAGTACATGCTTGTATAAGAGTTTCCAGGTGGGGATTGGGTGGTCAGTCTCTGACCTGTTAGGTCCTGTGTCAATTATGCCCTGACGTTGGCACCACATGCTCTTTGTGAGAGACATTTTTAGTCCACTAGTCCTTATAATGATAACATACAGCAAGACCCTTAAAATGGGCAAATTTCTACTAGTCCTTATGACACCTTAACAACTGGGTAGTTTGGTAAGGGCTATAGGACGAGTGCCAATTTCTATTGGTGTTGGTCAGTGTCTGACCTGGTAGATCCTGTGTCAATCTTGGCCTGACATTGGCACCACATGCTTGTTGTAAGAGTTGAGTAAAATGAGTATTGGTCAGTGTCTGACCTAGCTGAAAGTGTGTAATCGGGCCTTATTGTTGCGGATCGTTCAACTCTCTGTACTGTTCCTATTTTGAAGTGTTAGAACTGCACTCAAGACAATCTTTCATGTCAGTCAATACAATATACTTTTCGATTATTGTAATTTTCTGTCAGTGGTGGAAAAAACCTAGTAAAAGTGGTACTTTTCCCCGCATCCCCTCAAAATGTAATTGTAAGGCATGACCAACACTCACTCACTTCTGGCTCCTTGTATAGTCTACCCGTGAAGATTCCGGGGTAGAATAGGTCTTCAGCAACCCATGTTTGTCGTAATAGGCAACTATGCTTGTCGTAAAAGGTGACTAACGGGATCGGGTGGTCAGGCTCGCTGACTTGGTTGATGCTTGTCATCGATCCCAATTGCGTGGATCGATGCTCATGATGTCAATCACTGGATTGTCTGGTCCAGACTCAATTATTTCACAGACCGCCGTCATATAGCTGGAATATTGCTTGAATATTGCTGAGTGCGGCGTTAAACAACAAACCAACCAACCTTGTATAGTCAGAGCAGAGTACTGCTTAGCGCCGAGTTGTAGAGGCACATCACCATGAGCATGTGACTGAATGTTGTTTCACGCCGCTGACCGCAGTATTCCTGCCATGTTAGGGCCCCTCCAGGTAATCAAACTTGGACCTTACAAACCAGTTATTATGCTGGTCATCAGGAAGAGGCCATGGGCACTGTTTTGCTGGATTACAATGTTTTATCTCATGTTTATCCTGAAACAAATTCTTAAACATGATAATGGGGGCGTCTGGGAAGCCTAGAGATTAAGGCGTTCGTTCATCACTGGTCTTTTCGGTTCCCCACATGGGTATAATGTGTGAAGCCCATTTCTGGTTTTCCCCACTGTGATGTTGCTGAAATATTGCGACAAGCGGCGTAAAACAATACTCACTCACTCACTCATAAATCATGACAATTGATTGTTCGAAACTGACCAAAAATTAAGGAACTCAAATAAAATGATTTTCTCTACAACTGTATTCAACATGTCTTACCCAGAGAGAAGTACTCTTAACATTGATCAATAAGTGCTCTCCCTGTACTATTAGAGTGAGTGAGTTGGCTTTTAGCAATATTCCAGCAACATCACAGGAGGGAACAACAGAAATTGGCTTCACACATTGTACCCATGTGGGAATCAAACCCGAGTCTTCACGTGGCGAGCAAATGCTTTAACCACTAGGCTACCCCACTGATACCTGTGCCATTAGAATCACTAAGGACAGATTAAGTGTCCACAGTAGCTTATTCGACTCTCCCCAAAACTGAATTCATGGAGACTTGTTTTTGTTTCAGAATCTGAAGAAATATAAACAGGCACACAGCATTGGATCTCGCAAGCTGCGAGAGAAGTTTGTATCATATAACGACACATATCCGATGTATGAGTCAGTAATTCAGGTGTACCTGGAGACTAACAAAGACACTCTCATGTCCAAACAAGACCACAAGGCCAAGAAACGCAAGCACGATGAGATGAAAGAACCCAACAACAACGTGGTTGTCAAACCAGACAAGAAACAAGGAAAGAAGGAAAAGACGGAGAAAAAAATCAAATTAGAGAAAAAAGATAAGATGGGTTCCAGTTGCAACGATTCTAATTCTGGCAAAAATACAGAAAAGCCTGTGTCATTTGCTAACACAGTGAGCAAGGAGACATCAAAGACCAAGAAGATGAAAGTTAAAGTGAAGAAGCCCAAGAAAGAGTTTAATGTGTATCAGTTCATGCGACTGAAGCGAGAGGCGAGTCTCAATGCCTCTGCCAGAGTCAATATCATGTTTGAAAAACTTCCTGCTACTCCAAAGAAAGCTAAACAGAATAAGGAAGAGTCCAATGCTCAGTCCAGTGATAAATCGGGAAAGGACAAGACAGGGCCTAAAGATAAATCCACAAAGGACAAAGCATGCAAATCAGTCAAGGAGAAGGATAAATCCTGTAAAGAAAAAGTTGAGGATGTGAAGAAACAACGAGAGGAGATTATCAAGCATAGGAAGGTAAAAATTGAAGAAAAAAAGAAAAATGCCAAATTGGATAAAAATAAAAATAAGATTGATTCCAAAGGAAAGACTTTGAAAAAAATAAAGAAATTATTACCAAAATGTAAAGCTAAAGACAAAAGCACAGATAAAAAATCAAATATTAAAAAGAAAAAGGACAAGAAAGATGATTTAAAAAAAAGAATGAAAGATAAAATGAACTTGGTTGGAAAAACTGGCAAAAGAATAGCCAATCTAAACGCAAAAGCATTGATGGCTGCCACAAAGGATGTGAGGCCGAGTTTGGAACGTGCTGCTCGGATAGACCGCTTTTGTGTTTCATGGAAACGAGTATCAATAGCGAGCAAGCATCACCCTGTAGCTCGGTGGGTGGATGGGCTGGGCTCCACCGTGTGCTGTACAACTCAAGCCAGTGTTTGCATCTCCAAGAAAGAACAACAGATTTGTGAGGAATCTAAGACGACCACAACCACTGTGATGACAGCCATCCAGAAACCATCGACAATACCAGAATCAGAGACAATCAGTGACGACCGCCCTTCCAGTGTTGTGGACGTGGTCGGAGCGCACACTCCAGTGAAACCCTTGTCCCGGACACCACACTGCCTCACGCCCATGTTCTCACCCAGTCACAACTGTGTTCCACCGTGTAATGGTTTCTCGTGTGGGTCGGGTTCGGAGAGGTTTGTCACCGCGGGGCAGTACCAGTCCTTGACCCTCGGAGGTATCGGGAGTCTCAGTAGCATTCAGATGATGTCGTACAACCACCAGTCGCCCTACAGGAGCGCATTTAGTGTGCCATTCAACCACGCAACTATTCCATCTTACAGTGAGTATGCTAATGCTACTTAGTATTTGTTTGTGTCTTGTTTAACGTCGTACTCAGCTATGTGATGGCGGTCTGTAAATAATCAAGCCTGGACCAGACAATCCAGTGATTGACATCATGAGTATCTATCTACACAATTGGTATGATGACATGCATCAATCAAGTCTGACCATACTCACCTATGCATGTCGTAAGGGATGGAGATTAACCAAGAAAGTCTCCTAGCCCGAATATTGATGACATACCCTCCCTCTGATGAGCAATACCCTCCAAAATGTTTGAAATTCTTCTAGCCCTTATTAGACCTTTAACATTAACAAATCTGGTCCAGGCTTACAGACTAGAGTATACTGTCCCTGTGGATCTGGGGGTCAGGTTCAGTGACTTGTAGGGTTAAACACCATACAACTAGTTCGCACCTCATTTTGGACTATGGTCTAGGTAATAGAACTAGATTTTGTCGGAAAACTACTGGACCCTATATATTTTCACTTGCCTTGGACTAACGGACTCGTAGCCATGTCTGTCTCTGACCTGGTTGCACATCATTGAAGCCAGATAAGATGGAATGTTGCTCATTATATCAACCACTGGTTTTTCTCAACCAAACACGATAATTACAGACAGCTGTGATACTGCTGAATTATTGCTGTCTGCAGGGTTAAACAGGAAACAAAACAAAATGTAATTGTGTGAAGATAAATGAAAGCTGTAGCTACGAAAGGGTAAATATGATTGTCATGCGAGACAATCGCAGGTTAGAGACTTGACCGACAGCATCTCCTTGTACCAGGACCCGTGAAGATCTGGGGTAGAATAGGTCTTCAGCAACCAAATCTTGCAGTAAAAGGCGACTATGCTTGTCGTAAGAGGTGACTATTGGGATCGGGTGGCCAGGCTCGCTGACTTGGTTTGATGCATGTCCTCGATCCCAATTGCATGGATCAAATTAATGCTCATGATATCAATCACTGGATTGTCTGGTTTAGACTTGATTATGTACAGACCGCTGTCATATAGCTGGAATATTGCTTAGTGCCAACAAACCAACCATCAACATGTACCCAGAGTGACATGAATCGATGCACATGCTTTCACTGGTTTGCCTGTGTCTGTCATATTAATGTATTTACAGGTCCTCATTCTATTGCTGAATTATTAGTGTTGAACAACTTTCACTCACTTTTTCACTTGAACATTAATGTTGTTCTCCAAAATCAATAATTGTCTTATTCAGTTTGTCGCTATGTAAGTGCAACTATTTGGAACCTGACAGTTATACCCCATTTCACCTCACCTAAATCAGTTCACTATTTAATAACAGTCCTATTGATTAGATGATTACTATTACATGTATTAATGAACAGCATTATATTGATTAAGCCTTCACTGAAAAGTCCATATCACATGACGTCACATTGCTTCAGTGTTGAGAAAAAAATGTGACGTCATCCATTGTTAATGACGTGTTTTTTTTCGTTTTCTCTCTTAAAATGTCAATGAGTTCTAGAATAACTTACCTGAAACCCGAAATTACGGATTATCAGTCCCTTGTGAATGAATACTGTAGATCTGTTCTTTTTCAGAGCATAATACAGGACTAGAAATTGGCACTGGTCCTATGGTCCTTGCCAAACTGCCTAATAGTTAGGGTATATTAAGGACTAGTAGAAATTTACCCTTTTCATTAGACCGCCTCCATGGTTGAGTGGCAGATCGTCTGCCCAGAGCGCGGAATGTCCCCGGCCGCACCATACCAAAAGTCGTTAAAAGATGGTACTTGTTGTTACCCTGTCTGGCGCTCTGCATTAAGGGGCTAAAACAAGGACTGGTCGGCTCGGTGTCAGTATACTGTGTCTGAGTGGGGTATTCATGTTAAACTGCGGCATGGTATCTCAGTGAGCTAGCACTATAAATCGGCATCAGTCCGGACTAGTACAAGCAGCCACACAAACACACACGTATATGCACGTCGCTATATAAGTGCAATAATCTTGGACGCGACGTTAAACCCCATTTCACCTCACCTCACTCTTTTCATTAAGGGTTTTTGCTATATGTTATCATTGTAAGGACTGGTTGCTGATCAGGTTGATGTAGTGCAGGGTTGCAGCGTTAGGAATTGCCAAACTGCCCAATTGTTAAGGCATCGTAAGGACTAGTAGAAAGTTGCTATTTTTAAATGTTTTGCTGCATGTTATCATTATAAGGACTAGTGGACTGAGAATGTTAGTTTCTACCACTGGGTTGTATGTTGATTGTGTGTGGAATTGCAGGTTACTACGGTGGAGGATTCTACCAGCCAAACCCGCCGGTGCTGCACCAGTCTATCGACCCCTGCCTGCTGCCCCACCACCTCCCCGTCCCCGTCCCCCACGCACAGGTGAAGGTCCTCATCCACAACCCCGACAACTCCCACGACTGTGCGTTCACCAGCTACACCAAACACGACAAGGAAATCCCTGAGGATGCCGCTGGTGGGAACTCCGTCAGCAAGAAGCCAAAAGGAGACAACAAATCCAAGCCAGAAAACCCCAAGCCAAAGAAGAAGGTGGAGAGGAGGCGCAGCAAGAGTCCCAAGGATGAGGGGGTGGAGAAGAAGGGGGGAAGTAAAGTAGTTCCGGCAGCCGTGCAGCGACAGATTTCTTCACCCCCGCACAGCTGGAGGTGGTCAGGGGAGTCGGATATGAAAGTGGTACCAAGTCTGGTGAGTTTGATGCCGAAGATAGAGGTGTTTCATGGTTGAGTTCTAAAATGTTCAGAGCCCCACTAGGTGGCTACACGACCTCAGGTTAGGCCCCTTTGCAGCATCCTCATCCTTTAGTTGTAGGCCAGTATATCTGGAGAAGGTTGGTAACTTTAAAAAGGAGCAAGCCCTGCTGGCGACCATCTTCCCGAGACAAGCGTGTCCACTAGCCTATATCAAAGCCTAGTTTCTACCCTTGCCACATCAAGGCAACTTTTCTAGGCTCGACCCTGGCGCCACCTCTTGTAGATCATGAGTTGTGCCCCTTGTAATGAAACGTGATATCCAATCAGATCGCTGTTCTTATCTCGTATAGCTTCACAAAGATGGCGACAACCATAGTCGACGACCTAGTTGATTAGATAATGAAATCATTCAAGATTTCATCCCGGACACAAAAACATTGGCAATCGATGAGGAGGAGGGGGGATTAAAAGATGAAAAGACATTTGTGTCAACAAAGACAGGCAGCGGTAAACCACTTTCATACGAAGGTGTACAAGTCGTGGATGTTGATTTTGTGAAACGTTTTCTGATTGGACTATCAATCTATGAGATAGACCAATCATATTTAGCACAGGAGAGTGGGCTTGATGCAGCATGGAAAGACTTTGATAAAAAGGCGAGTGGAAGCTCTTACCTCGGGAGTATGGCTGGCTACATATGAATTTGTTGTTGAATCTACCCCAGGTGTAATGGGCCACATCCTGTGTCCAGAACACAGGTCACAAATCAGGCTAAGTTAAACAACCATTGTCACTGAAAGTAAGATGGATGAGAGATGTGTTCCGCTAGCGCGACCCTTTTTGTTTGTTTGTTTGTTTGTTTAACGCCGCACTCAGCAATATTCCAGCTATATGACCGCAGTCTGTAAAAGAATCCAGTCTGGACCAGACAGTCAAGTGATTGACATCATGAGCATCAATCCACACAATTGGGATTGATGACATGCATCAACCAAGTCAGCGAGCCTGACTACCCGATCCCGTTAGTCGCCTCTTACGACAAACATAGTTGCCTTTTACGGCAAGAATGGGGTGCTGAAGACCTATTCTACCCCGGGATATTCACGGGTCTTGGTTCTGCCCGACACTGAAACATGTCACATGTGATGTCTCCTAAGTTTTCTTTGAAATGTGCCTCTGTTCTCCAAGAGGTACCTGGTAGTATGAGATGGTAATGTGTTGTAAGCCTTCTAACACCTCACAAGGCAGCTCAGGCGGTATAATCCCCAGGGAGTTGAGAATGAAATTCAATTGCAAACTGATCCACTGACCGGAGTAATAATAATGCAGCACTTGGAGCATGCTTCAATGGATGGATTGGCGCAATATTGATAGACATTATCATGTATATTATTATATCCCATGTTGTGGGTGTTTTAGGGCATGTGTTGTGTGTTTCAGGGGGACACCCCACCGGTGAAGCGGAAGAGTTACCCAGCCATACAACACAGCAGTGGGGATATAATCCGAGTGAGGGACTGTGTGCTACTCCGGTCTGGACCAAGAAAGAAAGACATTCCATTTGTAGCCAAAGTTTCTGCGCTTTGGGAACATCCCGATGACAGTCAGTATCTGTTCTCATATTTACTGCATCCTCGGGAGCAACACATGTTATGCTAGTGCATTCAAACTCATATTTCTGTATCTTCCAACACAACCTATTCAATTGTTTTATGTCAGATACATGTCTTAATTTGTTTGGGGTGGTATGGGTGGCCCAGTCGTCTAAGGCGTCACGATTCGCTGCGCAGAGTTGAGACCCTTGGCCATGCCATTAAACCTATGATTGTGGGTTCGAATCCCGGTTCGCCCTGATTATGTTTCTACGTTTGTCAGCACCATACCCTTACTTGTGGGTTTCACCGAAGAGGTAAATGTCCGAGACCTGCATCACTTCGGGCTTTCCTCCGACATTAAGCTCACACACTGTGATATAACTGGAATACTGTTAAAAGCGGCGTTAAACCCAACTCACTCACTCACTTAATTTGTTTTGCAATAGGAAGGTTAAACAGATGTACAAGTCTTCAAACCCATAATGTGATATTTGTAGGGTCTTCTCTGTTCAAAACAATAAATTACAGCTCTTGTCCTGAACTAGCCATGTGTGAGGATTGTACAAAAAGAGCTTATTTTTCTTACGTTCCTTCGTAAGGTAATAAAAGAATAATTTCAAAATCTTTCAGCATACATGCATTCATCAGACATCATGTCTAGAAACTGCAAATATAACATAAACAGTTATGAGTCTGAAAATGAGTCCAAATGTTTGATGTCATGTATCTCTGTAATAAATATGAATTGGAGCTTGTGAATAGTATTTCTGTGTTCTGAAGATGCTGTAGTTTTAAAATATAATGAAAAGTCAAAATGTTATTTTGTCACCCATAGAGACCCTGATCTCATCATGCACATGGTTGGTCACAATTCTCTTCGAGAATTCAGTTCAGTTTTTAAGGGATGGGGAGTATCTGGTGACCTTTGAATCAAGCTTGTTTTCCTTATAGGCCTCAAAATCTGTTGAATGTAGATAGTTCTTTGTAGATTGACTCTCATCTTTCAGCTTGCTTGTCTGTAATGGTATGTTGTTATTTATGTTTCAATGAATTTGATGGTAAATAATTATGCGTTAAATCAAAAGTTTGAGATGATTTTGTTACTGATGCGTATCCATGGTTACAGATGAGATGATGATGAGCTTACTGTGGTACTACCGTCCTGAACACACAGAGATCGGCCGTAAGCCACACCATGTCGACTGTGAAGTGTTCGCTTCCAAGCACAAGGACGAGAACAGTGTGGCCTGCATAGACGACAAGGGCTATGTGCTCACCTTTAATGAGTATTGCAGGTAGGCACAAACTTCTCCTGAAACAATGTGATCTGTAAAGATCCAGGTTAGAATAGGTCTTCAGCACCCATGCTTGTCCCAAGAGCTGACTTACTGGATTGGTAGTCAGACACACTGACTTGTTGATTCATGTCATCGTATCCCAAGTGGGTCGATCGATGCTCATGATATCAATCACAGGTTTGTCTGGTCGAGACTCGATTATTTACTGACCGCTGTCATGTAGCTGAAATATTGCTGAGTGCAGCGTTAAACAACAAACAAAGATATAACAACTATACTGATGCAAACAGAAGCCACTTGATAGGTTCCTGTCGCATAAATCAAGATCTCAATAAATCCATAGCTTGTTGCCTTTTTATGATCTGTTCAGTGTTTAAAATATAAATATTGTCTGCATGCCATTAGGACCCATATACTTTAGCTGCAGGTCCTGACCAAACTCTTCAGGCCCTCATTTAAAAATAAATGCAGCTTATTGTGACATAAATCGACTCGTAAATTTACTGCGGGCCATAAGTGGGTATACAGTGTCTGAGTGGGATATTTATGTTAAATTGCGGCATGGTATCTCAATGTGCTAGCACTATAAAATCAGCATAAGCCCTAATACAAATGCACGCACGTGGGCACACACACACCGCTATATAAGTGCAGTAATCTTGAAGGCGACGTTAAACCCCATTTCACATCACCTCACCTACTACTAGAGTTATCTCCCTTTTATTGTGTCAACTTTCCATCAAGCTGTCAAATGTTTGGACTGTGTTAACATATTTATAACTTTTGTAACATTTTGTATAGAGTCAAACATGTCATCACTGATTTGCGAGCACCACACCAATGTTAGTTTTAACAGGAGTAGCTTGCTTCACATCTGGCTTTCCTCCTAGTTGAGCCTTAATATGACTGAGATACTAGACCTCAGTGGGATTGTGGTTTAGAATAAGTCCCCAGCAGCCTAGGCTGGAGGAATGTTAATGGATCGAGTGGTCAGCCTAAACAAACTACGAATAATGTCTGTTTATTGGCTGCAAGTAGTGTATGTAACAGAATATCTCTATTGGCTGAGAGAAATACGAGTAAAGTATGTGTCGATTGGCTAAGAGTTACGTAATAGCATGTTTATTCATTGACTTTACCAGGACTCTAAAAGTCCTGTTTCCACCCTTGCCGAACTAGGCTGGAATTTCTGGGATTGATCATAGCGCTACCAGTGGCTATTACGAGTTCTGTCCCTCCTATTGACCAATTAGATTCCACCTCTCATATCACTTGCATTTACATCAAACAAAAGGGCGGTGCCCAGTCAAGACAATATGATCAATGATCAAGATCTTTATTGTAATAAAAAACGTCTTACCTCTTAAGTGCATCAAATCACATGAGCACCTTGATCAAAAACATGAAAAGATTTGGAAAATATCTCTTGACGCCCAATTGACAGTACACATCCTTTGCAAATACTGCAGTTGACCGAAATCTGCACGTTGGTTACGAACCGGATGTTGATTTTGTTACGCTATTTTGATTGGGCTGTGCATTGACTCGTTAGTCCAGCCAAAATATAACCCCATAATTGCAGCCTAGTTCAGCAAGGGTGGAAACTGGACTCTGAAAACTCTCTGACAAAACTGGATAATACTATGACAGAGTGATGCTTACTTTACCCTTTTCATTTGCAGGTACCGAGCAGAAGTTTCCAGAAGTGATCAGCATGCATGTGTACGATCTAAAGTAGTTCCCGACATGGATGGAGATAGCCCAATCCTTCACCGTATGCCTGGAGTCGACGTCGACCCTTCCACGGTGTTCGTATGTCGACAGGTGTATGACTTTAGACAAAAGAGAATGCTAAAAAACCCATCTTGAGAACTGCCCCAAGTTGTAGTGACCGGTACTGGACCATCGAGTGTGAGTTAATGACGACGTCACCTTCGTGTACTTGACCAATACGACCCACAACTCCCACAGGGAGACTCACAGTGCAATACAGTTTTAATCAAGGACCTTTTCAGTATTGCTGCTACCTTCGGATGGAGGACGGCATGTTTCAGTGTTTGAATGGTGCGAGTGTCTACCTGCCTTATTCCACGTACACCGATGTTGTGCAAGACGTTCATCACAGTGTCCCAAGACAGTGTCAGAAGTAGATGAGGCCCTCTCGAGGTGACAACATCCCAGACAGTGTCTCAAGTAGATGAGGCCCTCTTGAGGTGACAATGTCCCAGACAGCGTCTCAAGTAGATGAGGTCCTCTAGAGGTGACAACATCCCAGACAGCGTCTCAAGTAGATGAGGTCCTCTAGAGGTGACAACATCCCAGACAGTGTCTCAAGTAAATGAGGTCCTCTCAAGGTGACAACATCCCAGACAGTGTCTCAAGTAAATGAGGTCCTCTCGAGGTGACAACATCCCAGACAGTGTCTCAAGTAAATGTGGTCCTCTCGAGGTGACAACATCCCAGACAGCGTCTCAAGTAAATGAGGTCCTCTCGAGGTGACAACATCACTCCTGTGAAGAAGTGGACCGCATGTCTTTGACATCATGGTTGAAGTCAACAATTAATTGTTTTGTTGAAGTTTTGTTTTCTTCCATGCCAAAGTAAATTAATAGGACCCTCGTCCTATTTCAAAAACACCCATTCAGCAGTAAATGTGCACTTGTTTCTATGGTGACATGGTAAGCCAATAGTTGAAGTTTTTGAATAAGTCTTTCTGTTCATATGAATGTTTGTGGAATATTTTGTAGCCCTCCTTGCTTAAGATATTATTGTTATTACTTTTAATATATTAATCACCTTTTAATAGGTATGATCAGAATGTCGTTCTATTTGAATATACACTTGACATATCATGAGAACCAGTTTTGTGGCTCATGGAAAGGTTAAAAGATTTCCCATACTAAAGTGGAGTTGAAACGTCTACAATCCTTGCAGTACGATCAGAGCAGTGCCATATATAATTTATGAGTTTTCACATGTAAAAGTAGACTATCATCAATCTATGGTATCCAAACAGTTGACAGAAGTTCAAGTCATTTCAATAGAAAAGTGAACTGGGCTCTTTGGTAGCCAAACAACACAGCAGACCTATTCTTTGTATTGTCAGTATTGTAGAAAGTGTAGTTGCCATGGTTACTATTGTCAGGGTCCAGAATATACTCATAGAATATGATCAAAGGAAGCTATATTTGAATCAGCAGGCTGCTGACATGCAATTTTAGATAACTCTAGATCTGAACTGTACCCTGAGCAGTATAGTGTGGCTTTGTGTGTGAGTATGGAGGGAGTGAGAAGAGACCACACACTGGGGTGTGTTCTTGTGAGGTGAGGTGTTTATGAAGTAATTATTGTTAAAGAATCTGTTTACAGCCTGATCTCAATATGTATCAGATGTGATCATTGATGATTGAAACCGACAATGTGATAGGTACAATATGTAGGTAAAGTTGTTGACGCTGTACTGTACTTCCATCTTTGTGTCTGCAATGTTCAATGCACTGTTAATATTAATGTTATGTTTTGTGCACGTTGGAGTGTTGTCAAAATATTGTGCATATATTGATGACAATTTGTTGACAATACCATTGATCAGTGCTACAACTGCAGTTTGGTGTTATGTGATTATCAAGTCTATATGCCACTGTCAGCACTTCCAATAAGGCAATATTTTTTTTAAATTTTGGCTTTGATGGTTTAAAAACAAAAGATACACCTATAACAAAAAGAAGAAAAAAAGTAACAATGTTTTGAATGATAATTGATCAAATGCATTGTATAAAGTCTCAGGCCACAGTCATATCAAAACTAAAGAATAAAAAACAGCATGGTTTGACATGTTTGAACAATGTGTATATGACATTTGCAGACATTGGTGTTAACAGTACAGTATACAGAATTTGTGTATACATTGCACTTGCATGATAATTATTCACAGTATTCACAATGTGTGTGTGTAAACATATGTTAACACATGCATTATACAGGTATACCAACAATTCGCTTGGCAGAGTTGTGTCTAGGGCTGCAACGATACAGGAAGGTCACGATACGATACGCATCTCGATATTCTGGTCACGATACGATACGTATCTCGATACGCAATGATAAAAAAACAAGACTTAAATCATGTCAGGATTGAACCGTTCATGATTTTGGAACAGTCAAAATTATTTTATAATAACAAGACTACTGAACATGCTGAAGTTGTTCAGCTTCAAAGTGGAACTTTCTCTAATTTTCCTTAAAAACAATTCAAAGTTCAAACACCAGAAAATAATTAATGTGCTCCACCAGTGATACAACGTCAAAAGAATTTTGACGCAATGGTCGAAGAAATTGTATCTGAATTTTTTGTTTTATCAGGAATAATATATTCCAATATCGTGTTATCTTAGTTGCAGCTTTTACTATATATATATATTTAAAATTATAAGAACCACAAGTGTAGCATTTTGGTACTGGTGATTGCTGTTGCAGGATATTTTTACGTATGGAACAATTTGACCAGTCACCCTAGGGACTTCCCGTGCTACATGTATTTCGATTGCGAAAACGTTATGTTGACATATATTTGCCAAATTGCCACAAATATGACTTTTGACGAGTCAAAGTAGGGCATTTTTAATATATGTATCCATTCTCTAGCAACTAAAGTTCGTTTCGATGCATCAAAAGCGGTAATCTTACCGTGGTTGCTGTATCTCTTCACACACGATTTCACCTAACTTAATGAAAACAATATTAAATGAAATTTTGAGTAAAATTAATAAAATAACACACGTTTTAATAACAAGATAGTATAATAATGGTATTGAATTGCGTACTTCAGTTCGGACTTGCTGACTTGTATTTCCATTGTTATGTGCTTACGGTGATCAGCTGATAATGTTTAATGAGATGGGGAAAAACATCTGTCGGTGTAAAACCTGAGCTAATTAAAAATGTAAGTACGTTTTGGGGAGCCATGCGTTACCGCGCACTATAACCAAGTTAGCGGTTTATTGAAAGGCACAATAGCGAGGAAACGCTGTACTTGAGATTTGCGTTCCGTATCGTGGCGTATCGATAAATGGGCCCACGTTTATCGTATATCGTATCGTGGGTCAAGTATCGCGATGCATCGGAATATCGGTGTATCGTTTCACCCTTAGTTGTGTCCCTTGGGCATGGCAGAAACCTATGATCGTGGGTTCAAATCCTGGTTTGCCCCAGTTATGTTTCTAGGTTTGTCAGCACCATACCGAAGTGGTAAACATCTGAGACCTACATCACTTCAGGATTTCCTCCAACAATGAGCTGACATGCCGTGATATAACTGGAATACTGTTTAATCGGCGTTAAACCCAACTCACTCACTCACTTATACAGGTATACACATGGCGTGTAGATCATGTATATCAATGTTATCATGAAATGAATCTGATCTGTGTCCTGTCGGGACGCGTACAGGTGTGTCCTGTGTTATCCTTGTTATCTTTCATTCTTGTTTATTGTTTTATCAGTTTTATACATTAATTTATTTTTTATGTTTACGTACATGCAGAAAGCTTCTGAATGTATAAATTAATCTCTTTTTTGAGGCCAATTGAAATTTTAGTTCAACAGAGTTTATCAAATGTTGGGATCAATTAATTTTATATGACTACATGTTTGAAATGTTGATGTTTTCTTCCTGTTCATCATGTACATAGTGTAGAGAATCTCTCCGTGCAGACAAACCCTGTCGTGTCTATCATTCAGCAGACTGAAGCCAAGGGGTTCCTAGGGCGCTGTCACACACTAGAATTGCATCAATAATGTAGGTTCTGCATCTCGATGTTCTTCCGATGATCTGATGTCAGTAAGTGCTGTGGCTCAGGAACCAGTTCCTGCATCATCCTCTGAAACTGATCACTGGCTACAGGAAGTGCAATACGTGCTCTATACAGATATAATATGCACTCAAGGAGCCCCTATAATGCCAGCCAGGTCCTATGAATATGTTCAAATGTTCTTGTGGACTGAATATTTTAGTTTAAGTCTTCTCAAAAAGGGATGTGTGTTCTATCGCAAACTGTGGTTGCTAGTTTTGCTGGAACCTAAAGTTGTGCAGAAATGTTAATAATAATAATAAGTCTGGTTATTCTGTGCCGTATTCCACTCCTAGTGACTGCACACGGCGCTACATTATTACCCCATCCATAGATCAGTGTGTCCGAGTATGCATGCTTCAATTGTTTGATAGCCATTACTTGTTCACTGATGACAACGTAGAGACAATTTATCGAAAATTTCTTTATTAACTGTAAAGGCGACTCTTCGGTATAGACCCTCATACCGTTGTCAACAGTTGCCTGACAACGGTATAAGGATCTATACCAAAACGTCACCTTTACAGTAAAAAAAAGAAGTTGTTATCCAAAAATTGTCTCTACTTTATGCATGCTTCAGTTGACTGGACAGTGAATTGGTTAGTGGAAAGCTAACCCATACTATGTTTTTGTTATGAAAATTGTAAATGTTAAACCTACTGCAGCAGGTGTATTATTTATCACAACAGAAAGTTATAAAACCTAGGTGCGAGGTTGGTGGTTAAGGACAGTGTCGATCTGGTGTGTGCTGTGATGAGCTCTGTGTATATACACATCACTGCCATAGTGATGTACTAGCAATAAGGTGGACAGGCCAGGAATGTAAAGCAGAGGGTGTTTTGGGAGGCCCTGACTTCAGCATGGATTCAGCATGTGAGCCCAGGAGCCCTGGCTGAGGAAAGGGGTCAGTGACTGTAACATCAGTGCTTGAAATCTTTAAACCCAACAAGACAGTAAAGCAGTTGACCCATAAATGTTGCCTGCCCAGACAGAAAAATAAAAAAATTGCGGGGAAAAATTCCACAAATCACGTCTTGATTCAGTTGAAAATCTACTTGAGAATCTATGAGGAGTTATAATAAAACTGAATACATAAGTAGACTAAAAATTATCTGCCAGACAGTCGGGCAAGTGGAGGAAAATTTTATGCAGCCCGACTGAAAAGTTAATGGGTAGGTGGGCAGGCAGTTATTTCGGACACTGCTCTACATTCATAATAAATACTGAGGGATTTCTTTAGTCAACTGCTCACTAGCCAACAATGGGTTTTGTAAAAAGTAGAACTTCAAGTTAAAGATGATTATAAATATTTATTTTGTTTTTATGTCTTTTGGTTACAAATATTGGCGTAAATTATATGAAATAAGTTTGAAATATAATACAAGACAGACGGATAGGAGATACGAAGAGCCCTCAGATATTATTGACTGAAAGGTTTTGGCCATAGCTGTTTGGTTCCAACTAGTTTCTGAGTTGTCTGCACTCTGTCAGTGATTTTATCACACCGTGATGACTGGAATACTGTTCAAAGCAGCGTTAAACCCAACTCACTCACTCACTGATTCATCAGGAGCCAACATCATTTTCCATGTTGTGTTATGCAATGCAAAGCCAGAGTCAGTGCGGTAGCCAGCAGTTGCCCCCCTGGATTTTTTATAGAAAAGAGTTTTATTTGAATCATGAAAATACAAGTTGGGGACAAGTGATACGTGTACAAATATTTGCCCCCCCCCCCCCCTTGTCAAAAAAAGTTAACTACGGCCTTGAGAGTGCATCTATCCAAAGTTTATGCAACTAGAAGTGTAATCAAGTTTCACTAGAACCCTAGACACATTCACTTTGGTAGTATCTGTCCTATGGTAGTGGCATTGCACAAAGAACAAGGGAATGCTTTGTTGGAACAAGGAATATAGCCTTGTTTTGGACTAGCATACCCAACCTGTGTAAGGGGTGCTGATGTCATGGTTAATGAGCTGTTACAAAGGCTCTAAAATAATGATGTAATACACTTGTCAAACAAGCATGCAGGGATTTATCTAGGATTCCAAACTAAGTGTCCTTGGTGGGCAAATTTGGGGGAAATAATCATGATATTGTTAACAAAAAATAAAAAATAAAATTCATAGATTAAGAGGAATTGGGAATTTTTCATTCAAATTGGGAATTGCTGCTGACTTGGTCCGAATATCGGCCTCTGAGCATGTCTAGATAATCCCTGGCATGTTCCATCAAAGGCGTACAGTATGACTGATTTTTTTGTGCAGGATGCTCATTTTTCTGTATTATACTGTTTATTTAATCATGAATCTGATATTCCAATTGAAACATTGATCATACCAAGAGCCTGTCTTGAAGGAATTGCTCTTTGTGCAATTGTATGTTATATAAACTTGATCTGTGGACTCTTGGTCACACCCAAACATCCGAAGATAGTCCTTCTGTTGTCCCCAACCAGTAACAGATGATGCATTTATAGCCAAACGTAGTGACCCCTCTCGCTAGTCCTTGAGTAGTCAACACACTTCCTTCCCCATATAGAAGCATAATTTATACGTTTGTCCACCACGCCCATAATCTTGTTGTGTTTTAGCTGTGATCCAATTGTGTTCAGTCTTTCGCTTTGTGGATATGTTTATAGTCAAGCAATATCAGCACTCCCAAGAAATATATGTACATATGTGTTTGGATGTATGCTCAGCAATCAAGATGCAAGAGGCCCCATTATTAGTATACAGAGTCTTGTCAGATATATTTTATTGAATATTTTAACACAAAAATTCATTGCACACATGATAGTATTTTATTATGTGGTTGGTTTCATGTCAAAGAAAAGGTTGTTTCTGGTATATCATGTATATGAGTAGATTTGTGTTCATAATAATTGTACATAACCCACACAAGGCATTGTCAGTTCGCGGTGAACATGTTTCATAACCAATTGTACAAATGATGCTGTTTAGACTTTGCTGTTAGAGTAGGAACGTTTTGTTGGTACATTGTTGAATGCATGTCCATTGAGATATTGTGTTAGTCTGAAAGAGACAGCAGTGTATTGTGAACATGTTGTCTTGGCTAATAATCTAAGACGAAATCATAGGCAGCAACTGACATTCCAATACCTCCTTTGTGAGGGTCTTCAGTCAGCATGTCACAGTTCAATCACACCATCCCAGGGTACCAGAGAATCTAGGACAACATCCAGCCTACCATTATGCATGCAGAACAGTACAAATCCAGCCTTCACAAACATGCATGCAGGAAAGACTGACAATCCTGCCTACAATCTTCATGCATGCAGAACAATACATTCATTGACCACGCATTCAGAACTGCATTGATCGAACAGTCGTTGCATCCAGGACAGTTAATTCATTGATCATGCATTCAGAACAGTACTATCCATTCTATCCATGCACGCATGCAGCACAAATACCACAATCATGTCTACCATCAACTTGCATGCAGCACACGTATTACAATCCAGCCTATCTTCATGCATGCAGCACATACACCACAATCTTGTAGTCATCTTTATGAATGCAATGCATAATCAACCCTGTTACCAACTACCTGCAGAACATTATAGATCAAT